TTCCTAAGGATTACATTTCAAAGCTTTTGCATTACTCACAGCAATTAAGATGCACCAAGTAAGTTTTACAGTTTTAGCTCTAACTCTCTAATTAGTGATTTAAAAACACACATATTTTACATTGTCTTGCCTTTCCATATGGCCAAATATATAAAGCACAACATTTTACTCCAAATAAAAGCTTTTTTAAAAACAATCAGTATGCCAAATGTAATGTTAAAGGAATTTATTTTTTTCCAGGAGAAGAACACAGAGATACAGTGACTTGACAGTCACTTTTACCGAAGCCCCATTCCACCGTGAAAAACATATAGTCTACAGTATCTTAAATGAATCATAATATAGCTTACATCTTTAATGCCTGATCACAGTGCCAGAGGAGTTCAAAGAGCCCTTACTAAAACCAGCAGTAGAATAGGACGGTTGCGCAAGCCACTGAAGTACCTACTTTGTAGCCAGAAGTAATTACGTGCATCTGCTAATCTCTGCTGGAGAAACCCAGTCTAACAGGCAGAGATCACATCTACCAGGTAAAAGCTCCATGCAAGATACAGGGGCTGCTGCTTTTCCTGAAAACACAGCTAAAAGACAAAATAGCATTTTTTGTGTGTGACGGTGCAACACACATGCATTACACCCTTTGGAATAAAAAAACGTCAGTGTTGGGAATACATACCGATGATAAGGCATAACTGTATTTACTTCCTGCCTTTGCTTGAAAGAGTGCAAATCTACATCTTGAAATCACGCCACAACTATGAGGTTCTTGACTTTCACAAGCTCAGGAACCTCAGGTGTCACACATCTGTGTAACAATACCAATAATGGGTAAGAATCCATTATTATGAGGCCAGACACCCAGTTGCCTCTGTGGATCTCGCTTTTACTCCCCACTCTTCTTAAAATAATGATGGAATAAGACAGGATCTTGAACCTTCACCTGAACTATGCTATACATCTCACTTCAAAAGGCTATGAGTTAATGCTGCTGAGCTAGTTTAAATCAGTGCAAAATAATTCAGGTAGATAGCATTCAAGAGCGATAACCATGGGATGCAGATTTAAACCTGGAAGCGTGCGCAATGGAGCTTCTGTTTTGGAGTTTCACAGCACTAGATCCAAATAAGCGTGTGCAACCTGCAACTTCACGTAAAACAAATGACACTGTACAGTCCAAGCAACAGCAAAAGGTCTTACTGAAATGACTACTATCTACTTTCAAACCACAGAGGAACTAAAGCACATCCGGGAGGGGGGTAGGAAAAAATTATAACACAGACAGAACTATGTATCTTACTTTTATCTAATATCCTCAAACATCTAAACTGCTTGTCACAGCTTACCAAAATGACTGCAAGCCTGAGCTAGAAGGCTTACATTTTATTCAGGTGGTTACTGTTTGGGAAATTGTAAATCTTCTGTTCTCTATGGCTTATAATGGAGCACGCTAAGCAGCCTCAAAACATAAAAGTTGCTGCCAGCAAAGTCAGGAAGAAAATTGTCAGCCTTTCTATTACCACAAAAAAAAAATATATATACACACCAGTATCAATTATACCAAAACCTCAAATTGTAAGTGTGGAAAGTAATTTTGGAACATCAAGATGAGATAGTTGGAAGAATTTTACTGCTCCCTTTTTAGTTTATCATTATGGTCACACACTTCACCTTCTTGTATCTGGGGTTATTTTGCTTCTAACCCAAAAATCATTTGTGTGCATTAGCAAGGTGAAAAGATTCCAGTCGCTCCCAGAAGCTCCTATTCACAAGTGTATTTGGTCCTCATTAATTTAAACCTCCAATCACCTCTAGAAAAAACAATTTAGAATACCTAGCTTTCTAAGTGCCCCAATGTAATAAAAAGTAATCATTATAGCGTAATGATATAGCAGCATAAAATACTTAACATTTATTTTGAGCTGTCTACACTAGTGTTTTCTTGTAATCTTTTCATATATAAAGTTGTTTTACCCACTGCAATTCATCTACCGGGTCACATCTGTGTAACAACACCAAAGCCATACTCCAGTAACATTTGTGCATACTGAAAAACAGCAAAAGCCTTTTTCTGTCAATATTCTCATGTATAGGATAAGCACTTACATCACTGTTGCCATCTGCATTACCTACACTCATGGGAGCATAAGGCAAAAAAGCCTGCTATGTAAAATGAAACTTTCCTTATGAAACACAATGGAAATCAGGATTTTTTTTTTTTTTTACAGTGAATTAATTGCACCATGTTCCTGCCTAATGTAACATTACTGCAATTACTGCAGGAGTGGATTTGACTATTTGTTAGCAAAAATGCCTAAGACTTACTAAACGCATCATTTAAACACATTGGTAGGAAAAAAAAAATCAAGTGAGAATATTTCAAGATATCCTTCCGTCTTCATGATTGAGCATTCTCCCTTTCTACAAGGTAAGAGGCTTTAATTTTTAAGACTAAAAATCTAATTTTTCAGAAACAAAATTCTGGACGCATTAACATTGCAGTGTTGTGACAGTTAAGAGCTGTAATGCATTAACCACAACGTTACCCATCCTGCTGCCCCCCATCCAACCTGCTCCAAAGTACTACTGTTACGCAACGATCCCTTGAAATCCCCTGGTTTTATATTGTAACAACGATAAGGAAAGAACATTCTCTATTTTAGTGCAAGTCCTTTACGCATTACAAGGACTAAAGGCATTTCATTGCCTTTCTTCTGTCATCCTAATCAGGCTGACATTATTACATATAAGGTTCAGGTACTCCGTACCCTCTAATGACGTTATATCATGTCTAACACAGACATTAAACCGTATTTCTCAGGAAACAGAAAACAATGGCTACTTTCAAGCTAAGGCTACTTTCAAATGCTAACCTTAAGTAGCGTAACAATCTATACTTCCAAACAGGAACTTTAGACGAAAACCTCATGCTATCACCAAATAGAGGACAGCAAATTAGGAATATCTACTTTGGGTTTACCACCTTTTTGTTTCAATGGGTAGTTTTAGGTTAATTTATTATAGGTAACTTCAAAACGCCAAGGGAAGGGTGATGATATTTGTAGAATTGGACAGTAGTTAAATTTATTTTCATATGTTTCTGAAAGAGTGCTTTGTGTTAACTTTCTTTGTCAAAATTAACGTGCCATGAAATAGAAGAGCAGTTCTCAAAAGAATACATCAGAACGATGGTCACTTTTCTACTTTGTGGCCAGGCGTACTTCATTTCTGGTTCCTGCTGCAAGTTTCCTTAAAACACATCTCCTAATTATAAAACTTAAACAGGTGAAGAAAGTCTTCCTTGCCACGCTTCCATATAGGCCTCGGTGGATTTCTCATACAGACCTCCCTCCAGGGCACAGTAATCCACAGGCACCGCCCTCACGTTTTCCCTCAAGAACTGAACTCTCTTCTGGAGCAAAACACTCAAGAACTCATATAAGCAGCTAAGAAGGAAAACACTCCACCTGGCAGCACCTTTGCAGTTACCTGCAAGCGTCAACGGCCTTTTTCATAACTACTTCACTGCAGAAGAGGAAACAGTAGGGAAGGTTTATTGAAACGCTGCATTGACAGAGCCTCCCAAAGACAGCGGCCCCGCGAAGCCGCCAGCCGACCCCAGGCCCGCGG